TGCCTGTCTGAAGCGGGGTGATTCGGCGTCTTCCACGTGACTCAGGACCTCGGTAGGACGTGCACAGACCTGCCTGTCTGCAGCGGCAACCTCTTATGATGGACACCTGCATGGTCCAATACGGTAGCCAACAAGCCACAAAGGGCTATTGAGTCATTGACTGACTTGTGCAACACATTTTGCAGTGATGCTATTTTGGATATATTGGTTAAAATTTAAAAAAATTATTTAAGTCAATCTCACCTGTTTATTTTTACTTTTTAAAATATAGCTACAAAAATTTTATATTACATATGAGGTATTATATTTCAATTGGACAATATTGCTGTGCATCTTAATACAAATTTGACATTTCTCATCCGCTGTTATCTTTCCTACCATTTCCTTTGGTCTTGTAGTTTAAATATTCTCTTTATTTTCATTTTTAGGAGGCGTCAGGTGGAAAATAAAGCTAAATGCATGTGGTGAGCGGTGGTGGCCCGTGGGAACAGAAAAGAAGGGTAACTGCCAGGTGTTTAGGCGGCAGAATACACAGGACTCGGTGACAGATGAACATGGGAGTTTGTATTTACTATAAAAGGGAGGGGGAGTTAAGGACACGGGTAATCTCTAGGGAGCAGCAGGTCACCTCCCAACCGCAGAGGTGCAGGCAGAGATTTCCAGCACACCTTGTCCCTCGCGCGACACCGTCCGCGCAGCCCGGTTAGGTCGCTAGCGGGCGCCGGGGCCGTGGTTGCGGTTCCGGTTCCGGTTCCAGCTGCGGTCGGAGTGGGCACCTGCGGCGGCGAGGTGCCGCGGTGAGCAGTCATGGCTTACTCCACTGTGCAGAGGGTGGCCCTCGCCTCGGGGCTCGTCCTGGCGTTGTCCCTGCTGCTGCCCAAAGCCTTCCTGTCCCGCTGGAAGCAGCCGCCGCCGCCGTCGGCACTCGAAGGTAAGAGGATGCCGGGAGAATGTTGCTCACGGAGGCTGACGTCCGAGTCTCCGGCCTCCGCCAGACCCGCTGGACAGGGCGGGCGAGCGGGCGGCGACCCACTGCACCTGCCCGGGTCCCTCCGCGGGGCTCCCACAGGATTTGCTAGGAACGCGTGCACGTGTGGGCAGCTTCTCGGTGGCCTCGCACACCCGTTTGCTAGCAGCCGCTTCCATTTCCCCTCAAAACGCTCGTCACCATCCGTTCACCTGAGTCAGAAGGGGTCTTCCTCTTTAGAGTTTCATGGCTTTTTGTCGTGTTCTGTGTGAAATAAAGTCCGTTGAACTGGTATTATTCACCTTAATTCCGCAAGCGTGTGTGTGTGTGTGTGTGTGTGTGTGTGTGTGTTCACGCGCGTGCGCACCCTTCAAAATGTAACTTGGAGATTTTAGTAACCTAAATAAGTTTCAAATTTCTAAGGTAAAGATGAACAAAACACGAACAAAACACTACATTCCCCCTGCCTAAATATTTATCTGTTAATCTTTTGTAATTGACATGATTGTGAAATTTTAAAATCCATCCTTTCCACTGCATTCAGGGTTGTTTTTTTTTTTACAGAATCAGTGCCAAGGTATGGATGCTGAAGGCTGGGGGAAGGGACCAGAACAATTCTCCGTAGGCCATGAAGTTATGCTGGTCACTTTCTTCTGTAAATTATCCCCTGAACATCTGTGAGACATGATTTCAGTCTCTGAACACTTCCTCTTAATGTTCAACCTGTTGATTGCTGGACAGGTCCTTTTGAACTGCAATTCTCTTCCCTCTTGTGCATGTTAGCAGTAGTTGCATCCTAAGTTACAAATACTATCAATGTAACGTATCAAGGTCTAGTGGTGATGGGCAGTTTGGAGCTGATAAAACTTATGCTTTTAAGACTGTCTGGAAGAGGCTTCTTAAATAGAATTTGATTAATTTTATGCTTGTAAGACTAGAAGAGACTTCTAAAATACCTTTGCATATTTGATCTTTTTCTTTCTTTTATTTTTAATTTTTTTTAAATTTTTTAATTTTTTGGTACCAGGGATCGAACTCAGGACCTTGTGCTTTTGAGGCAGGCGGTGGAACCACTGAGGTAAATCCCCAGCCCTCTTTTTTTTGGTCTTATTGCAAAATCCAAAAAGTTTTTGCTCACTGCCTAATAACATTATTTGCCTTGAAGAACAGTAAATTCATGATGATCCTGAGCAGTGAAAATTCTTCTAAAGCAGTTTTTTTATTGAGTTGAAGTCCCATTGTGAACTATCTTGTACAAGTACAGTTGAATGGGAATAGGAGAATGTCTTCTGAATGTTATAGAGGGTATAGAGTGGAAATCAGACATGGCTCCCACCCTTGAGAACCCAAATGCTAGTACTGTATTCAGTGTTCTCTACTTAGGATATTGGCACTGTTCTTTACTTTTGAAGTGCTCTTCCCTCAGCTTCCTTCTCATTTAAGTTTCTGCTCACATGTAACCTCATTACTTTTCTTGATAACCTCAACTAAAATAACTCTGCCTATTGTTTGTGATTCCATCGTGTTTTATTTTCCTCATTACAGGTGTCATAAATGAAATAAAATTTTCTTATTTGTTTACTTCCATGTGCACGTGTGTGTGTGTGTGTGTGTGTGTGTCTCCACCTTCCAGAATAGAAGCTTCACAAGGGCAAAGGCTTTGCCTTCCCTGTTTTACTGCCAGCACCCAGCATATAGTAGGCAGTCAACATACTTGTAAATGAACAAATTTGAGATTATGAAGCTACTAGTATTGTAAATTTTCTTTTTATATTACAAGTTACTGAAGTAGTATACCCTAGGCAAGAAACTACCTTGAATGGTATAGTCCAGCAGCTGAAGTTTGCTAAATGAAATCCCTACTCTAGCACGTGAAAAGCCATGAATCCTAACCATTTTGGGGGTATGTAGACACTGATAAAAACTATATATTTTCTCTCTAGAAAAATGTGCATACCATTTATACAACCCAAAATCTGAATAGTAATTCAGAGAAATCAAGAACCCAGAAATCTCTGCTTCAAAGAAAGCAACAGCTTCAATTACTTGAAAATTCTTAAAATTTATGTCATTACACTTTCATTTTTGCCCATTGGGGTATGTTAAACAAGCATAGTCCCCTTTCCACATGACAACTTTTAAGATAGTCTTGACAAATAATTATGTTGTACCCTATCATGTATGTGGTGTACACACCATGTACAGACTGCATTCCAAGAAAAATGAACCAGATTCCTGTCTTGAGGAACCCACAGTTTAGTAGAAGAAAATAGATATGTCAATAGGTAAGTGCAAAAGATTATCAGTTGTAGGTGTTGAGGTGTATATGGGAACAGCAGAGACACATGCAGTGGTCAGTTTTATTGGTACATGCCAAAGGCCTCATAAAAGAGAAAGGTGTTTTTGTTTTGTAACAGCTTTCTTGGGATCTAATTCTCACACTACAGTTTGTGTATTTAAAATGTATGAGTCAATGGTTTCTAGCCATCACCACAATCAATTTTAGAACAGTTAATCATCTCCCAAAGATCCTCTACATTTTAGCCAGCATCCTCCAACTTTTAAATCCCCAGCCTTAGACAACCACAGATTTACTTTCTGCCTTTATAGATTTGCCTTTGCTCTTTTTTGACTAGTTTATTTAACCTAGCATAATAAGTTCAGTGTTCATCCATATTATAGCATGTATCAGCACTTCATTCTTTTTATGGCTGAATAATATTCCGTTGTGCAGATATACCACATTTTATTTACCCATTCATCAGGTAGACATTTGTTTTGTCTTTTAGTTACACTATTGTAAATAATCTGTTAATGTTTGCTTATAAATTTATATGAATTTGTACTGTCATTCCTCTTGGATGTGTTCATTTGGAAAATGTAAGCATTTCAGGGTGACTGAAACTAAGAGGGGGATTTCTGGATTACATGGTGACTGCTTGCTTAACTTTTGGAGGAACTGCCATATATTTTCCAAAGCAGCTTCCTCATTTCACATTCCCACAAGCAACATATGAAGGTTCCTATTTCTCAACATCTTACCAACTGTTGGGACCCAGATTGACCTGTCTGCATCCATCTTGGGTCATAACTGCTATCGTTGTCCCTGAGTAACCATGGTACACTCTCCCCAGTAGTTTCTAGGCATACTATAAATAAACAGAACCAATAGAGTAGTGGCTGGAACTTTCTAAAGAGATCCTGACGCCATCAGCATCAGAATATGCCTAGTGTCTTTGATACTGTCTTGAGATAAACCAAGTACATTCCAGCTTGGATGGAGTCACTTTTATCCTGACCACTTATAAGCCCCATCCATCTGACCCAAATTGTGAGGATTCATGGTCTTGCTGCTGCCCTTGACCACCCTTCTGATACTAAGTTCCAAATAAACAGCACTGTGTTCAATCATGGTTCTGTCTGCCTCTTCTTCCATTTCATAGAACCTTGCAGCTGGTTTTCTTATACCGGGGACAGATTTTTCCAGAAAAACATTCATTATCTGTCTTTTTTATTATAGCCATCCTAATGAGTATAAAATGGTGTGTCATTATCATTTTATTTGTATTTCCCTGATGACTAATGACCATGAGAAGTAAATGTTTTGAATGAATTCAGGACATTGAGGCAGCCATGACAGTGCAACTAAAGACATTCATGAACTGCTTAGAAAGTGGCAAGAATGGTGGGATAAGTGTGTTCAAAGTTAGGGGCAATATTTTGAGGGAGATTAATGGCAGTGTGTTTTACTGAAATGTATTTTTTTAAAAGTAGTCACTGTACTTTTCAGTCACACATTGTATTTGCTTTTTGTATATCTTTGGAAAGGCATCTCTGGAAATCTTTTTTGTCCATTTAAAAATTGGATCACTTGTCTTTTTATTGTTTAGTTTTATTGATTCTTTATATTTTTAGACACTAGTCTTTTTTTTGACGTACAGTAATTTGGAGTTTTTCTCCCACTCAGTGGATTACTTTTTCTTTCTTGAAGGTGTCCTTTGAAGAAGAAACTTTTAAATTTTCATGAAGTGTAATGTGTCCATTTTTTTTCTTTTGTTGCTTCTGCCTTTAGTGTTGCATATAAGACAAATCATCGTCAAATCCAAGGTCATGAAGAGTTATGCCTGTTTTTTCAAGTTTTACAGTGTATGCTCCTGCATTTAAGTTTTGGAGCCTTTTAATTTTTGTGTATGATGTCAGGTAAGGGTCCATCTTTGTGATGAATGTACTCATACAGCTGTCCTAGTGCCATTTATTGAAAAGACTATTCTTTTTCTGTTCAGTTGTTTTGGAACCATTGTCAAAAGTCAGTTGACTGTAAATGTGACAGTTTATATCTGGACTCTCAATTCTATTCCATTAATCTATATACTTATCCTTGTACCGGTACCATACTGTCTTTTTGTTGCTATTGTAAATTCAGTTTTAAATTTTGTTTTCAAATTATTCTTTGCGAGTGTATAGAAGTATTAATAATTAATTGTATATTGATATTTTATTCTGCCATTTTGCTGAACTTGTTTACTAGCTTTTCAATCATGATCCTGTTATCAACAAATAGAGACAGTTTTGTTTCCTTCTCTCCAATCTACATGCCTTTTGTCTCTTTTTCTTCCTTAACTGCCCGAGCTAGAGCCTCCAGTACAATGTTGAATTGAAGTGGTAAGAGCAAACATCTTGGCTTGTTTGATCTTAAGAGGTAAACTTTCTTTCCATTAAGCATAATGTTATGGCAAGAACTGCTCTTTATGTAGCTGTTCTTTATCAGGTTGAGAAAGTTCCTTTCTATTTGTAGTTTGAGTGTTTTTAGTTTGAATGGGGTACTGAATTTTACACTTGATCTTAGCCAAAAGGCCGAGGAGCGATGGGGTACTGAATTTTCTTGAATGCCTTTTTCTGTGTCTGTTCAGATGATCATGTGTTTTTATCCTTTGTTGATATAGCATATTACATTCTGTTGATAA